TATTTAGATATTATTACGATATAGAGAGCTCTTTATAAGCACTGATGCAAGTAACTAAGATTAGTTCACTGAAATAATGTACATAATTTTTTAAATTTTATTGCAACATAGACATAATAATGTGTTTACTATAATAATTTAATATCTTATAAGTTTATTTTATTTTTATTTTCTTTTTTTTTTTTTTTACGTTGAATATACACAGTTATTTAGATATTATTACGATATAGAGAGCTCTTTATACTTATTATTGGAGCAAATGGCAATTCAGTGTTGATAAATAATATTTAATTGGTTTCAAATTTGATATCGATTCTGACTTGACTTATGTAACAATAGTTTGCTTACTTTGATATGGTATCCCGCTCGTTATATAAATCGTATTATTTTTTTGTTTGTTTAAGTTAAAGTATTATTCTTTGACAATAGAGAAATTTATTAGTTTCATTGATTTAATTTTATCATAAAAATAAGTTTTTTTGTTTATGATAAAAGAATAATATTCCTTGTAAGAGATAATTGACGACATTTACTGTGTACTTAATTGAAAGTAGCGAACGATTCGCGTACTTGTCTAACATAAGGTGAATACATTTATATTGCAATGAATATTACAAATTCGAATAAGAATAAATATTAATCAATGACGGTACAAATTGACAACATTAAATTATTAATTAGGAACACGTACTTTTTTTATATCATGCCGATAAATTTGTTCGCAGTTCGATTCACAACACACATACGTTATTTTTATTTCTTTTTAAGATTAATATATCCTTTTTTAAAAATATTTATATATATATATATATATTGTTATACATTTTTCAAGCAATATTTTCAAGAATATATTTCTTCTTTGACTTTTCAAAATATATTTCTATAGATCGAATAATATTGTTAGTTGAATTGATATAATATTAATTTTTATAATATTTCCTTTTTTCTTTTCTTTCATTACAATAAATCCGACGAATCATACTCTCATACAAAATAAATTTATATTCCCGAGTACGTAACATAAATATATTACATTTAAGAACGTACTCCGCGAGATCAGACGGAAATTAAACGTATTCTTTAAAATATCATCCTTAACGTATAAAAATTCATATTGTCAGTGACACGTTTGATGTTGAAGATTGTGTAGTTCATATGCAAGCTGACAACATTCCGAATCACTCCATCTATGTCGTTCACGAATTTTATCTGCATTCGTGGAATATTCGGACACCTACAAAAATAATATTTTAATATTACTACAATCAGGAAAAAAAATATATTCAATATTTCGAAATCTTTAAATATCAACCCCATAATAATTATCTCTTTGAATGATCTATATAACAACGTTAAAAATATGATCGATACAATGTTTAATATACTCACGTTCGAGGAAAATGAAAGTAAAGATTGATCCGTGTATTTACTACAAAGTGGCGAAGTATGATTCATAATGTTCTTATGATTATCCATCGATACCACGTTGGATCCATTTCCAACAATGTCCATGTATCCTCTGCTGCTAGCTAAACTACCTCCTCGCGTTGCGATATCTAGGTAAAATCATGCAATAATATATTTATTATTTAGGTATATATCAAAACAACAAAAAATCGATTTGACCGAGCATATTACTGCAGAGGAGAACTTATATACACGCGGAGAAAATAAATTTATTGGATTCCTGAAAAAATTCGTGCCGATTTAATATATATTTTTTTTTTTTCAAAATCTGATAAACAGTATACAATTATTTTTATAATATTTAATAAGGAAACACTTTGCCTTAAAAAGTACATATACTTTCATGATTTAGATAGATCATTATAATTCTCATTCCTTCATTTATATATCGAACGAAATTTTTTTTAGACAATCCAATAATACAAATACAAAAGTATGAATAAAGTGAAATCAAATTTGTAGGAAGGTTGGACTGGCTGCGTGGGATTTTTCTTCGCACGTCAGCTCGGTAGGATTAAAAAGACACCTTGTGTACTCGCCATCGAGTGCGTTGAACGATGACCCTCGCGATCATGATAGAAACAAGGCCATTGTTTTGCTAACCATTTTGGTCTTTTACCACGTCTCCGTCCAAATTTCGAAGTGTTGCAACTACATACACTATTCGAACGTGGACCTGTTCTTCTATCGTAACGAAAACGAGGACACCTGTAATTTCTTAACGTTCTCGAAACTTCTGCCCTAACTTCTCTGTTCATAAAACAGTAAAGGACTGCTACGAAAAAACCCTACAAAGAATAGAAATATCATTTTATTGCATAACACAGTTTATACAAGTTTTGGACCAATAACTTTTATCACCTCAAATATTGCGTCTCGATCATTTTTTCTCAAGGTATTTTTTTTTTTTGTTTTTATTCTTTTTTTTCTTTTTTTCATAAGAATCCAACGATGCACACGCACGTGCATTGATATTGCGCTTGCGAAAAGAAAGAGAAAAAAATATTATCGCGAATACATAGAGTCTTCCACCTTGAACTATTGATCTTTTTCCACTGACATTTCTTTCTTTTTTGTCCAACTTCAATAAAAAAAAAAAGTAAAAAGTATGGTAATCATTGTTCAATTGTGTTTTATTCAGAGTGATACGGGGTATCAATTCGTGTACATAAAAATTGTTGGATATTTCATTTGTACAAAAAAGAAGAAAAAACGGTCCCTCAAATAATGAAAGAACGTGAAGTGATAATAGTTATAGATAATTTTTCAAATATACGAGAAGTAATTTACCTGAAAAGAAGCGAATGATTGATCGCAAAATAGCCAGATAATTTCAACAGTTTCATCGATTCCCATACTGTATGACATACCTAAGAAAACTGTATAATGTACTCCAAAAAGTGGCACTAGGACCAGTGTACTTCTTGCCCACCGTCTGCGTATGTTTCAATAAGATTATTATCATAGTTTTGTTAATAATTTAATTGTTTTTTTTTTTTCGTTGACCTACTTATATCTTTGAGTTTCCTCCGATACGGTGCACTTTAATTTGGACAGTAATACTCGTACGATATTGACAAAAAGTACGAAATTAATCTGAAAAAAAAAAATAACACAAGAAAGACAATTACTTAAATTTATATCGTACACACACACACACACACACACACTTGTAAATAATTAATTAATAATTTTTTATTTTATTTATCTTACTAATATGGAAAGTATCGTTGGTATTCGAATCCATAAAAATAAATATGGATTTTGATTGGTTGTCCAACATAATATATCTTCCAGTATAATTCTTGATATAACCCAGCCCGTTATGAATATCGTCGGTAATCCTGAATAAATAATACAATATAATTCCAAATTAAATAATATTACTTTTTTTTTTTTTTTTCTTTTTTTTTTTTGAGGGATATCAAAAGATCAAAATTAAATGAACAGTTAATCGAACTAACCCCATCCTAAGAAAACGTAAGCAATTATGTTAGAATTAGCATCGGCGAACAGTGCCAGGAATACTAAATTATGAAGATAAAGGCCTTCCATGAGAATCCAAAAGTAATTGGCCAATATGAAATATTGCCAAAAACTGGTGAACAATTTGCAATGCCAATTGCTTTCAGTTTCGTCGAAGATCCATTCTTTTTCATTGTTTTCAATAATGATGTCCGAGGCAAGACCGACTCCGCTTAAGAATAGGGTATCTTTTAGAAGTGCCATAAATGCTCGCATCATGAACGAGAAAAATGTGTGCATGTGTAACATATTTCTCGGACATCTCAATTTTCTACGTAAAAAAACATATAATTTGTTTTTTTTTTTTTCTTTCCGTGTAAAAAACAAACGTAGATAAAAAAAAGAAAAAAAAAGAAATGAGAATAGAAGTATACATTTATATTTTGATAATAATATATCCGATTATTATATATTTATTTTTAAGACACAAAAAACAAAATCATACTTACTTAATAATCGCAAGAATGAAAAAGGCTATAACCAGCGTGAAGAAGGATACTGTATATCCCACTTTAGAAATAGTTTTCAGTATAGGAAGGTACTTCTGTAAGGACAGTACAGACAGAGAGACGTTTCACATATCTAATTTTACTAAAACGAAAATAAAATAAGAGACGTATATATGTACATAAAGGATTATTTCATTTGTATTTGTGGTTATCAATCCACTTACTATGTTAAATATTAATAACCATAAGGGCTTTTATCTTGCTTTCGTATACTTTTACTTGAATTCGTACAAAGGTTCGTTTACCTGAATAAGAGTGATATTGTTCGAGTGCACATCCGTTATATCCATTATAACTGTGACTAGTTCTGCAGGATAGCACTGGGTGTAATTGCTCCAAGTGGTATTGGTGTCGAAGTTCCAGAACCATTCGCCGTTGGGCATGCATTGCTTTGTTGCATTCGACTAATGCATACAAGTTTATTATACAACTTTCTATTTAATTTGGAACAATTGATTATAATAAAAACCTCTTGCTAACTGTTTCCTTTTTCTATTTTTTTTCAATTAAACTTTACTTCAAACGTGACCAAAATTAATAGATCAATTTTATAAATTTTATATTTTTGTAATATAATTTAAAAAAAAAGAAACAAGTATATAACACCTGAGAATTGAATCCTGCGATGTAATCAGGACAATAGAGAGATGTTAATTCTCCTGGTGGGGTAGAAGGCCAACAAAGTATCGTATCCCAGATCATTGGACACCATCCTATTTAAAATAGAAAATCTATATGAAATAATTGTAAATAATATAGATTTTATTTAAAAGAGAGAGAGAGAGAGAACATTTAATTAACAGGCTGTCGAAACAAAACGTTACCACCCTTATGATTATTTGAAGTGTATTATTAGTATTTTTTCGATGTTTCTCGAAGTGTTTTAAGTGTTTCAAGTTGATATGGTTAGCACACTTTAAAATCTTGAAACACTTAAAACGATTACGAGGGTGGTAAAATTTTTATTGCGACACCCTGTATTTATATACGCATAAAATTTGATTTTATCCGCACGTTTTCGAATGAATAACGATATTTAATTATTTTCTGGGAAATTTATTAACCGTGAAACAAGCAATTTATTCGTTCTATAGTAATAGTATAGGTGCGTAACGTCGGCACAGAAAATGTTTCATTTTGTTTTATACGAAAAAAAAAAGAAAAAAAGAAAAAAAGAGAAAAAAGAAAAGGAGACAAAGGTTTTCATTTTGTTTTAACGAAGATTTAATCGTAATGAAAAAAAGTTTAATTAAAAACAATTTATAAATGCAACGATAAATTTCATTTACTCGATTAGTTTCATTTCTTTTCTTTTTTTAATCTGTTAATTCATTAAAGTTAATCGAATCGATGAACAAATAACTAATTACAAATCAAAGTTTGCGTTTTCCTTATAATATTATCATTCGAATAATAATATTCTCAAAGTTTTACAAAGTTTGACTTTATCTGGAAGAAATTTTAAACTCGTAGAAAGTTTAATTCTTGAAATAAATTCTCGATATCTGTTGGGAATATACACCAAACGGATTTGACAGAAAAATTGTTAACTTCACGAAATATAGTTCTCGAATTATTACGAAGTATTACGATAGAGGAAGGAATGGGACAAAAGGTTGATAAGAAAGAATAAAGTGAACTTTTCCAGATGAATTTTAAAAATTAATCGTTTAGAAAATGAAATTGATTTCATTGAAAATGTATATTATATATAATACCGTTTTTCGTGATATTTCCATGATTACAAAGTCTTCTTTGTGCTTCCCGTGTTTCCTCCTGACGAGAATAGCCCGTTCCCTTCTAACATAAATTAAATAATAATATATTATTAAAATATGTGTTAACTATTTTAATATTAATTAAAAAACTATCATTTTTTTATAATTATTGTCTCTCGAAATGTTAAGGATTACAATTTCAAAAAAAAAAATATATAAT